TACAATAACCGACGGTGGTGGTCGATTGGGCGGTCCCAACCGACCGTCGCATAGTCCTAATGAGGCCACCTTTCAAATGCATGACCATTAGCTTCAATTCAACTTCAGGACAGGACTTGGTAATGTTTGCCATGACAGTTCTACAAGTTTAATGCAGCTTTTTCTTACAACATGAATCTATGTTACAATGCAAAGATGCAAATTAAGTAGCAGACACCTTGGCAAAGCATGCTAAAATCAACCATGTTCGTTTTGTAGATTTAGTACCACCCTGAATGCTGCTATTTCCCAAGTTCAAATAGGATCATATGTTCAGCTTGTTAATGCTCTAGGTTGTTTTAGATCATTTTTTTGTGTATAATTTAACTTTGGGAAATGGTATTGAATTATGTGCCACTCATTATTTTTGAATTAATCCCAATGGTCCTTTATTGCTATATTATCTCTTAACATTTCCATAATTGCATTCCAATGTGTAGTATTAATTTAAATAGCAATATTTGTAAGTTTGCTATATTGGAAACATGCCTTTTTCATTTATGTCTCCACACATTCCATTCCATTAGCATCTATTCATCTTCCTTTCTATCATGCATTGTTTGTTTAATTTTACTGTTATTGTATTTGTCACAAATCTCACATTAAAAAGAAATGAGTTTATAAGTAAGAGTTTTGTTTTCAATTATTAAAAACATGTTTTTAAGTTAGAAATGTGATCCATGACAAGCAAGCAAGAGTTGGATCTTTCTTCTCGACGGGTGAAAGAGTCCGTATAACAAGAACGAGTGGTATAGAATATCATAGATTTCATATTAGTGATAGATTAATAATAAATAAGGTCTTTCCTACATCAAATAATCTGGTCTTTTGGGTATATATAAAATGTGGATTCGTGACTTACTAACTATGCCAACTGTAACTCCTTATTCATTTAGCCTGGCAACTGGTGGGAAATGAAGTAATCCTTCATTGCCAAAAGCAGCAAAAAGAAAAATGTAAAAAGGCAGAAATATTTGTGCCTCTCATCTCTGACCTTTCTTCACAGCTCAGTCAGCTCCTCTTCATTTCATTTTCCTACTTAATTTGGTTCAGTCATTGCATCCAAGCTTGCTTCACTGACTGCTGAATGGCATTACCATTTATTTGCTTCCAATTTGATTTTGGCAACACAATTAAACTGCAGATAAAGATCATCCCAAGGATAATGCATATATCAGTAATTAGCTGCATGCATATATTTCTGGAAGATGATCAGCACTCCCACAAATCAACACAAGAAAGAAGTTTCTTGTCATTCTAAAGAAATTAAATTCAAAGACTCGTGAATAATTGGATTCATGTATACATTAATAACGAATCACATTTTATCGAGATTCATTAATATATTATAAACTTCATGTTTAATGTCTGTATGTGTCCTTATCTTGTATCTTTATATATAATATAGTTTGATGAATGCTTCACTTAGCTAACATCAGAGTGAAAAAGGTTTCAATCTTCTTGGCTCTGTAAATGGCACTTAAAATAGATTCAGTCTCTCTTAACCCTCAAATCATCATCCCTGAAACCAAGTACTTTTGAGAATGGCCTGGTTTACATCGGAAAACTGCAGTGAATGGCAAGCACAGTTCAAGGCTCTCCTCAAAGGCTTTGATCTCATGGGCTATGTCGATGGCTCCAGCCCTGCAACTGTTATGATGAACGTATGTGCATGATAATTTAGAAAATAAATTATAAAGGATGATAATTTTTTTATTTAAAAGGAGATTCGACTGTTAATCTTAAATTAAAAAGTCATGCATCAATTATTAAATTAAATTACAGACATATAAGCATAATGAAGTTGATTCACGATCAAGTATTCTCTATTTGATTAAAAATAGCAATAACCACTTTTGTGAATTCATAGACTTTCTAGTTAAAAAAGTTGTCCTTTTGTGTTTTCCGTCTTTTCCAATATGACAAATATTATTTTTCCTAACCACAGTTAATCAATTCGTGAATAAAGATCTATTTAATCCAAATTAAAAATAAAATAACTTGATTGAATATAATAAAAATTTTATTTAAAATTTTTTGAATAATTTAAAAAGATTTTAAATATTTTTCTGAAAAAATGAATGCATCCTAGCTACCTTTTACGCCCACCAAAGATGATGGTGTTTGATACAGCCATTGGACTAGTAATATTCATATAGATTCATGAATAATTAGGTTTATGTATATATTAATAACAAATCACATTTATTAAGATTTATAAATAATTAAGTTCATAAATATATTACGAACTTCAAGTTTAATATCTATAAATATCCTTATCTTGTATCTTATGTAGAGTGTAGTCTAATGAATGCCTCACTTAGCTAACATCAGAGTGAGAAAGGTTTCTATTTTATTGGCTCTGTAAATGGCACATAAAATAGATTCAGTCTCTCTTAACCCTCAAATAAAAGCTTCAAATTTATCTTCTTTTTCAATGCAATGTTATCATTTTAACCTAATTTGGTTTTTTTTTTAATGTAATTTCACTATTTAATCTTTAAAAACAACTAAAGATGGTTAACCATTTAAATAACAATGTAGCATTTGCCTAAGGTTAAAGAAAAAATTCTTCAATTAAGTAATCCATCATTGCCAAAGGCAGAAGCACAATGGGTACAGGACTGATGGTACTAAATTTGATTAAATTTGAAAAAATGCATAAGTATAGAGACTAACCGGATCATTTGACTTCATTCCTTTTTTTTATTAGATTACATAAATACATTTATACTACTTAAAAGATGATTACAGACTAAGACATTAAATTCAAAGACTCTTACTAATATTCATATAAATTCGGGAATAATTAAGTTCATGTATGTATTAATAACGAATTACTTTTATTTAAATTCACAAATAATTAAGTTCATGTATATATTATTAACTTTAAGTTTATTATCTGTATTGTGTATCCTTACCCTGCAACTTATATATATAATGTAGTCGGATGAATGCTTCACTTGTCAAATATGCAAAGCTATCATCGCAAGGAAAAAGGGTTCTTCTTGGCTCTGTCAATGGCAGCAGCCAAACGTAAGTCCAGGTACAACATTCTTAGATAATGGCCTGATTTACATCAATTCTGCTGCTCTACTCTCACTGAAGCTAACAACGTCGAACTACAGTGGTTGGCGAGCGCGGCTCAAGGCTCTCCTCCGTGGCTACGGTCTTATAGGCTATGTTGATGGCTCCAGGCCGTGTCCTTCTCCGCTTCCACCTTGTAAGACGTGCTCAGGCTCGAGAGATACAGTCTATGAGCTATGGAAAAGCCAATACCAGCTCGTGTTAGTAGCCATTTTAGTATAAAACTCTACTAGCAAATCTTTGGATAGCCATACTGCTCTGAAGGCAAATATATATATGTCTATATGTCCGTAATAAATATGGGATCCAAGCCCTTATGGGCAATCCTTTCATTCTGGCATATGCTCAATTCTCAACGATATTAATATCTTGTATGAGGTTTCTTCTTCCAAAGTTACAAGCCAATTGACATCTTATTTGGAAAACGAAAATTCAAATCTTAATTTTAAATTAAAGAATCATACATCAATTATTAAAAATTTACGATTAAGTAATCTTATCGAGGGGAACCATTTTTGTGAATTCTTGTACTTCCTGTAAAGGACGTACTCTTGGGTTGGAGCAATGGACTTCTTTTTGTTATCAGTTTCCATCCATCCTAAGAGCCAGGACAATGTATTAGTATTTGCAAGCCACATTCTAAAGAATTTAGAGACAGTGAATTAAAAAGGGTGAAATTGAAGAAGCTTTTGACCATATTTGCAACCCACTTGTGAATGAATTGTTAGCATTCAATTCAATAGGAAAGTTTAAATTAAGAATAATGGTAAAATGTAGCCTTGAAGCAAATTCTAGCTTCAAATTTATCTTTTTTCAATGTGATTTCACTATTTAATCATTTAGATAAGAATGTGGCATTTGCTTCTTTTTTTAATGTAAGATTTTTATTTTTTATTAATTTTTTTTAACACTTTTTGGTAACTTAGTTGCAATTCTATTTCTTCAGGTACCTTTTAAATGCATGACCATTAACTTCAATTCTCAACGTCAGGATAGGACTTGGTGATGTTTGCCATGAGGGTTCTACAAGTTTAATGCAGCTTTTTCATACAACACGAATCAATGTTACAGTGCAAAGAAGCAAATTAAGTAGCAGATACTACAATCAATGACGAATTCAAGATTTTACATGAGAAGTGGTTAAAGAATTATTGCAAACATCTAATCACAGCAGAATTCATTATAATTATACTTACCAAGATTAGATTGAATTATTTTGTTAGACAGTAAGCAGAGAATTTACAGCAGACACCTTGGCAAAACATACTAAAATCAACCATGTTCATTTTGTAGATGTAATACCTCCCTGAATGCTGCTAATTCCCAGAGTTCAAATAGGATCATTTGTTCAGCTTGTATATGAAATAGTTATAAATTATGTGCCACTCGTTATATTTTAGTTAATCCCAAATCCCAATGCCCCCTTTATTGCTATATCATCTCTCAACATTTGCAGTCCAATAATTAAACTTCAGTTAAAGGTCAGTGATTTAACTGCAGTTTAATGCATATATCAGTAATTAGTTGCATGCATGTATTGTTGGAATATGATCGGCACTCACGCAAATCAACACAAGAAAGAAAGGTAAGAGAAAGATACCAAGTCCAATATGTGATAGAATTGGGTTCATGTATACATTGATAATGAATCACATTTATCAAGATTTATGAATTATTAGGTTCAAGAATATATTATAAACTTCAAGTTTAATATCTGTACATATCCTTATCTTGTATCCTATATATAATGTAGTGTGATGAATGCTCTACTTAGCTAAACATCAGAGTGAAATCGGTTTCCATATTCTTGGCTCTGTCAATGGCAGCTAAAATAGCTGCAGTCTCTCTTAACCCTGAAATCATCATCCCTGAAACTACCTACTTAGATAATGGCCTGGTTTACATCAGTGATGCTGCCCAACTCTCGGGGAAGTTGACATATAAAAACTACTGGACTTGGCAAGCACAGTTCAAGGCTCTCTCCTCCATGGCTTTGATCTTATGGGCTATGTCGATGGCTCCAAGCAGTGTCCTCCTGCAACTGTCATGAAGAACAACCAAGCCGTGAGCAACCCAGACTATGTTTTATGGCATCGCCAAGACCAGCTCGTGTTGCACGCCATTTTAACATGTATATCACAAGATCATCTTCTGTATAAACTTGTTGCAAAAAAAAAAACTGGAGTCGAGACTGCAGAGGCAGCTTGGAATATGATTTCAAGGATATTAGAACAGTATAAACCATAACTATTTTTCTCTTCTGATGATGAAGACCCATTTCTTTTACATGTCATATGTGGATGTTAGATAGTTGGCATCAACTATAAATAATGTGGGTTCGGAAAACAAATATTTTGCCTCTGACTGGATGATACATCTTGAATTGTAATTTGTTTTCTAAAACTGTTTAGCGTTTTTCAATTAAAATTTTGCCTATTTCATTTAATCTTTTTTTCAAAGTTATAACGAAAATATAAATAATTTTTACTTAAAAAAGAGAAATTCGAATTATACTATTAAATTAAAAAATCACGTATCAATCACTAAATCAAATTATCAGATCCAGACTCATGTAGATGATGATGTTAATTCAAGTTCAAATTAATCTTTTTTTTTTCCATACAATGTTATTACTCTAATCGTATTTTTTTCTTAATATAATTTCACTATTTGATCCTTCAAAAACAAATGATAATGTTAAACTATTTAAAATAATCGTGTGTCAGTTGCTAAAGGTCAAAAAAGTATTAAACTCTTCAAGACACTTTAAATAAATTTCTATATTTTTATTAAGTTTAATTAAGTTCTTATATTTTTATTTTAAATCAAATAAACATTTAACATTAATAATTAATTAATTACTATTAATTAAAATTGCTGCTACATTAACATAAAATATTAACTTGTCATTAATAAAAAGAGACATTTCCATGTGATCACATCAACATAATCAACGTAAAACTGACAATTATTATTTGACTAATGATAATTAATCAACCATTATTAATAAAAATTTATTAAATCTAAAATGAAAACATAAAAACAAAATTAAATAAAATAAAAAAATTTATTTAGATTTTTTTAAATATTTTAAGAATTTTTTTGATACCATTCCAAAAAAGATGAATCTATCCTAGATGATTGAAGTTTGGTAAGGCCTCTGGACATTTCTCCTAATGCAGTTTTCTAAATTTAGCTAAGCTAAAATATTAAAAAAAAAATTGAAGAAGAATTGAAAGAGGAAAGCACATGCATTCAGTGTATGAATGCTATACAAACAATCTTAATCGTTAGTAATTTCTTATGGCATTTACAATCAGTTTTTTGAATACAAAGCCCCGCAGCCGCAGCCTACTTACAAAGAATTCAATCATTTCTACCAACCGTCACAGCGCTTCTCTCCTAGAGGGGAAAAAGAAAAGAAAACCAAAAAAAAAAACAAAGATACATTTACAGAGAAAATTAAAGGTGCCCAAAGCCAAAAGATTGCGTGAACAAATTACTACACACCCCCGCAAACTAAAACAAAATTGAGGGCATCCTTACCTTGCTGCCTTACCGGTCTCAAAAGCCGAAACCTGGAATACAACAAACTTCAGATTCTGAAACCCTGAATCCTTGAATCCGGCAGGTCAATGAGCTAACCCTTCCCTCCCCACACCAACACTAGGTTTGTCGACCAAGGGGACGTTATACCGCTGATATACTCTAGCCCTGTTTGCCGCCCACCACTGTTCTGCTTGCTTTTCACTGAAACGCTTCCGACTGCAGTCATGAGAACAATCACCGATAGTTAAATGATTGAGAACTGTGGCTTGTAAGCAGCACAAGCAATAAACAAACTGAATACAACACTACTAACAAGACACATATTGGTTTAATCAATGCCTTTAATTGATGTTCTAATCCTTTTTCCCCTATGCATTTAGTTCAGACAGTGAGGTCTTGGAATCTTGGTCTTGGTCTACTCTTGAGTGCAAAATGTGTATGTAAGAAAAAGAGAAGAAAGTTGAAAGCGGCTATAACAAACCTGAACCGAACACGCTTAAGATCTTTAACACCTCCAGGCAATGCAACAAGGGTAATATATACACCAGGCTCATCTTGCTCAACCCATTCATCCCCATGTGTGGGTTCAACTTTTGTAGTTCTGTTCCTATTCCTTGCTGTTCCATCCAAATGAGATACTTCCGTGTGAATTGAAAGGTGCTGATTACTAGATCCTGAGCCATTAGAGATCACAAGGCTGTTTGATCCATTTGAATCTATTTCATGGCAACTCATGGGACCACCCAATTGCTCATTGCCTGCAGAAGAAACATCCCGAGGTGGAGTTGAACTAGAATAACAAAAGGACGGTGAATTGCTGCTTCTTGCTGCTCCAATTGGTAACCTTTCAGCCATATCCTTCAACTGCCATACATGAGCAAACAAGTTTAAAATTTAGACGAACTCTGATCTAAGCAGTTTACTTTCGCCACATAATGAAGTGATACTAACATAATTAATTGTCAATAAATCAGGTATAGGAACCCAAAATTCAGTGCTCAAGATTGAGCAATAATTAAACAAGCATGGGTTTTCTAGCAAGTAGAACCTCCATATATAGGCATTAGGCAAGAGTCTAACTTACTTGAGCAGTGAGTGACTTTATGACTTCCTTTGCGGCTTTGCTTTTTGCAGTCTCTTCTGCTGCTACTGCTATGGCTTCCTTCAGCTGTTTAGTTGTTCTTTCCAGCTCAACTTCTTGAAGTTGTGCCTTGCGTGTAAGTTCCTCAACCTACATCAGATGGCCAATTAGGTGCAGCCAACAAACTTAACAACCCTATGTACAAAAAGTGAAAAAAAAAAAAGACTTGAAGAATTATTCTATTCCATTCTAGCATTTAACTCTAGAGCTTCCTTGCTACTAACTTACGGGCTGTAAACAAATAATGCTGGAAAAGAATGGAACTAAAGGCAATGTATGATCTAACAAGAGAAAATTCCCCTACAGATAATTTAAATTGTAAAAATACCTGAGTTCTTAATTTAACTACTTCTTCACTTAGACCATCATTTGTCCTTTTAGCATCATCCACAACAACTTTCATTGATGCAAACCCTGACAGAGTTGGTGTTGGTGTTGTAGCACGAGGTGGGCTAGATCGTCTAGAGGTAGGTGATGTCGCTCTAGATACAATCCGTGATCCAGGAAGAGAAGCTGAGAAAAATTTCTTGGATGACCCAAATAAAGCATTCGAAGTTTTGGAACTGTTTGGCGGAGCACATTGAGAAACTCCATTCGGAAAAGGTGAAACTCGAGTGCTATTAAAATCCAATCTCCTGTTTCTTTTAGAAGATCCACCTTCCAATTCTTTAGATGATTCAATGGAACCATTTCGACTGAGTTGGGCATGGGTTCTTGAATGCAACTTCTCAGTCTTCTCAACACCTTCATTTAGTCCCTGATTCATACTCCCTCTTCTACTCAGAGCATAATGGGTTGAAGAGTTGGTTTCAGAAGCTTTTGTGAGTTTGGCAAAACAATTATCACAGACACGAAAAGGTTTGTTAGGGTTTGGTGCCATGGAAGCTTTAAAAGACTTCTTACTGCTGCATGAATTGCAGAATACGAGTCCACAATTGTAACAGTTATGACGTTTTCTTTTGAAATTGAACAAAAGGCGGCAGCCAGAACATTTCGATTGATCAATACTGGAGACTGACTTATGAAGACAGATAGCTGCAGTAAAACTAGTGCCACAAACAATACTCTTGACCTGTTTGTCTTTTAGAGCTTCAACAAGACATGGAGAACTTCTATCATCAGTATCCCCATGACCTAATCGTCCATTTGCACCCTTTCCCCAAGTGTAAACTTCAGTTCTTGAAGTTAAAACAGCAACATGGTAAGCACCACAAGCTATTTCTTCCACAAAATTCTTTGTAAGCTTTCCCTCAACACGGACAGGGTGTTTTCCATCAGCTTGAGAATTCCCCAATTGCCCATAAACAGGGCTACCCATAGTATAGACATGGCCATTGGTTGTTAGTGCAACAGTCATGCTGTGCCCACAGACAACACGACAAAAGTTAGGCTCAACCAGTGCAGCAACACAAGTGGGCACCAATCTAGCTTCCTTGTCACCATGACCAAGACGACCTTTATCACCATCCCCCCAAGTAAAAAGTTTTCCTGAAGAGCAATTACTGGAGCTCGAAGAGCCAACCATAACTTCAACAACAGCAGCAGTGTGCCAAACACCACAAGTTGCTCGCACAGTGCGTAGGCCCTTAAGGGACTCCACTTCCCTGGGTACAGAAACACTTTTACGATCTCCATGTCCTAAAACACCAAATGTTCCATCACCAAAAGTAAATAATTGTCCGGCAGAAGTGACAACAGCTGTGTGCCATGGTCCACAGGACACTGATGAAACATGTATTCCCTCCAAAGGTCCATTTAATTTCTTTGGAACCCATTGACTTGTTTCATATCCATGGCCAAGTAAACCAAAATTGCAAGAACTACCACCCCATGAGTACATTTCACCAGAAAGTGTTACAGCACAAGAATGGTACTCCCCACATGCTACGAGTTCAACATTTATATTTTTAAGAGAATCTATAAGTTTTGGATGGGAGACATCAGAATCCACACCATGCCCCAATCTACCACCACATTCCTCTCCCCAAGAGAAAACCTCTCCTTGCTTGGTTACCAAAGCAGCATGTTGCCCACCACAAGCTATGTTCTGAACATCCAAAACAACAGCAGATTCCAAAGCTTTAGGCAGAAGAGAATCCATCTTAACACCACAGGAATTTCCAATTCTATGTATTCCCCCACCCAATACACTGTCACCAGTGCCTTCACCCCATATAAAAACATCCCCTAAAGCATCACCATCATATTGACCAGACCCCTGACTTGAGGAGCTTACAGCACTTGATAAACTAACTCTGAAAGCATCGCCATTCACACCTTTCATGCGCCCAGCTGCTCCATCTGAGCCTGCTGATGACAGAGAATGGATTGATCCACAAGCAGATTCTGAAGGATATAACACCTTCGGAGGCACAGAATACAACATTACATCAGATAAAGCCTTCTCTAAACCAGTTTTAGGAGGACTCTCATGTGGAGTATGAAGGCGAAGGGGATCCATCCCATCCTATATCAGGAACAAGAGAATTCACTCACAAAATATATAAAACATTGAAGTACAGCACAGAAAATCAAGGAATAAAAAAGACCTTCTGTGAACTACCACCGCTACCAAATGGCGAGCTCAGAGGCGAACTTCTTTGGGTATGTGCTCTAGGACTAGTAGCTTCAGACGAAACTCCATCACTTCTTGATTCAGCTCTTCCTTTCCGATGATGACCACGTGATATCAGTGCCTTTAGACCTGTAAACCAGACTTCAGCTTCATCTTTATCCTTGCAAATCTGGTACAAAAGAGAAGTTGGATTCATGGACTATAAAAATATTTTCATCCCAAAATTTGGTAATTAATCAACACTGAAATGATTAAGCATGTATGAAGAACCAAACTACTAGAAATTAGATGCAACACAAGTCTAGCAAGGAATAAAACGGAATGCTTACCAAATCTAGTGACCTATCATTATATATAAGAGAAAATGATTGGTATTCTTTTTCAGGCCGAGGATACCTCTGAAATATTGGCTGCAATAAGCAAAGTAAAGAATGATCAAAAAAAATTCAAAACACAACAGAGATACTACTTTGATTTTCTTATCAGTAGAATGAAAAATGGAATTGATTAATGAACTCCAGCATTGAAATCTTTAGTTAGAATCAACGAAGTATTCCACCTCATTAAAATTCTCACATCAGAAACGGGAAAAATAACCCCCCTCATCTAAATGCATCTCTGTCATAACTCAGCAGTCATGCAACTGGAACATGTATACTATAAATATGAATTACTGTCAACAAAACTATTACATTACATTGCATTACATCTCCGGTCAGTTTTGGTTTGCATAGCTAAATGCATGAAACACAGTAATCTACCAAAAGGCATACCATGTTATTAATACCTGTAATTGGGAATTCTGACCCAACCAAGTACACATCATTTTAAATCTAGAATTTTGCCAGTGGAAAATACAAGCAAACACATACCCGCAATTCAAATTCAGGAAAAGAATAATCTCACTCAAAAATATGTGAAAGCAATAACCCTAAAACATTGCATAACCATTCTTGAGGAAAATTACTTGAACTTATGTAGGCTTACTCTTTAGTGCTGGATATAATTGACACACGTAACAAACAAGAGGCGCAGAAAAGTGTGACAGGGATAAACTTACTGTTCGCTGACCAGGTATGATTCTGGAGACATGGCTTAGTTTAAGGTATTTTTCCTCCTTTCCAGAGATCCATATTAGAACAGATTCATCCTGAAAAGAAACAAGGAAAAGACATGTGGTATGTAGAGTTTGGAATAGGTATATTACAGTAGGTTCTCAATGCATACAGCATCAAGATAACTGTTCTTCCAGAAAGAAACAAAAGAAGTGACATGGGCCAACAAATTTCCATGTACACAGATCACAGTAGTCTTTTGCATCTAGTCTGAAAATATCATTCACAAGTTGGACAAATGTCATAGACCATATATAATTGCTCAGAAAAGCAGCATAATAAAGAATAACAAAGAATATTATTAAGGTAACCCAACCCAGGACTGTTATTCCTCCTTTAAAATAGTATTCTTTTTTCTTCCCAGAACAGTTATACGGGTTTTGTATGTCTGATTTTTCTCTCATGCTCACTATAACCCGATAAACTTCACACACATTCTTATCAAAGCAAAGAGCTCACTGAATCTGACAGCAAAAATACCTCAAAATCCAGTATAAACATAGAAATGCCTAAGGATAAAAATTGTGCACAACCGTAATTCCAGCAAGTATCAAAGCCCTTATACAGAGTCCCCTCATTACAAGCTTAAAGGTTCACTTCTAATCATTGGTTGATCTTCAGTGATACAATAACATACATGTCTCCATGAACAATTTCCAAGTTTCTCATTTGTACTGAAACATATGACTCTTGTAAGCAATGTTACTTATAAGGTCGAATCCTCAAACCCATTTCTAAGGCTTTCCTTGGTAGGAAGGATGGAATGATTTTCAATCTAATAGTTAGGTGTGACAATCACTTTCCCACTTTCTAGCTTAACCATTGGATTAGAATATTTTCCTTCCTACTTTCCATCCTACCGACCAAGCAAAAACTAAGTGCCCAATATGTATTCAATATGCATATGTTACAACAAAGATTTAGAGTAAAACAACTTTTAAGCAACATAACCCACCACACCTAGTTGATCAGAAACAGGCAATGTCAAGAAATATTAGTAGCTCACATGTGTGAATGTGAAGCCACCATTTTGTTAGAAGTTACCTTTCTTGCATGCCTAACATATAGGAAGCTCAGGTGGCCATAACATGTGACTTGTTTGGGTTTTTACAAACATTTTCCTAAGGCTTTATGAAACTGTGGGTATGGAGGATTCTAAAATTTTGTGAAAAATTATTCAGAAAAAAAAAATAAAGCAGAGGTTCATAAACAAGAAATTTTATTTGTATTAATCTGAACTCTGGTAAACCAATCTGCTCAACACATACCAAAACCATTCCATCACTAAGGAGAGATCATATAACACCCCCTTCCCCAAGACAGGTACATCACTAATTTCTATTATTCGCTTTCAGTACAATAGTCATCCATCCAGACATCTAACATAACACAAAGTAATAAATATCATCTAGTTTTCCAAAAGCAAAGAAACATAGAGCTAGTCGCATACACAGATGACTTCTATGCAGCAAAGCTAAATGGAGATGGAGAAATAGTTAATAAATAGCCACCTACACAACAGTCAAATTTTCAGATTTTAAGTCACATAAATAAATACAACACTTAACACATGAATCTTCAAATACATTTGGTCTTACATTGGACAGCCTGAAGGGACAAAATTTGGGCTTTCCTCTACGACCATATTTGAGCAATGGCGCTCCTTTTTTAAGGGCAGTGATGGCCTGTGGTAATACAAAAATAAAAAATATGAATTAAAACATAGAAAATCCAACATGCAAATTGAATTTCAGACTGCTGGTTGTAAATCTATATAAGAGGAATTTATTGAGGAAATAAAATAAGATCACAAAATTAATGCAAGAATGAAACAACAAAAATGGAAAAATCAGTGGACATTACACTTTTGCTTAATGGGGGAGTCCACCAGAAACCAAAAATAATTCTAACGGGAGAATGACAATACATTTCCATGCTGTTTTGATTTGATATAAAATTTATGAGAAACAATGATACTGGAAGTCAGATTTGTTTCATACTGAAGCTTCAACTAAGTTATGACTAATTGTGCCAGTTAATATTGACATAATTCAATATTTTACTTAACATGGCAACACAGAAAAAACTCATACAATCTAGATGATCTATTTCACATTTTTCTCAAGCAATGCATTGCAATCAAGTTTCATATTACTTGTACAAATTATACCTGCATAGAGCAATCATAAAATCAATATTTGGCTAAATCTATTCCCTAGTTTAGTTTTCTTTTCTTCTTAAAGTATGTTTTATCTTCTTCTTTCTTTTTCTTTTACACAAAACGAATTCTTTTTCCTCATCAATTGGGGGCTGGCAGGGCTAATGGGTCATGCCATCCCCAGCATTCAAATGCTACCATTCAGTTAATATATATTTATATATCATTCAAACAAGAAATTCAAATTTTTCCCACATCATTGTAGTAGGTAACAACCATTCCACAGAACAACAAAATCAAAACCCACCAACCTACAAACGAAGTCAATCCAACTCCATTATCCAAATAAAAAGAAAACAAAAACAATTCCCAATTAGCAACACACTTAACAGCTAGCAAACAGAACTTACACAACATTGCCCATAATAATAGTGATACAACATAAACAATATCCAAATTGTTTGCAGTCAACAACCATTTTCCATTTTCCACATTGTCAATTAACAGCACAAATAATCAAACAAAACTAACACATTATATCAGAAGAAAGTGATAGCATACGTTACTCTATCTAGCTACATCCAATCATTTTTCTTTTATAAGAAAAAGTAATAAATAAATTCTAAACAAAATCAAATAAACAGTTTACCAACTCAATGTCCCTCTCCGGTACACCCGCCACCCTCGACTGCTCCGCCGTCACCGCAGCCATCCTTTCCGTCTTCAGCATTTACTAATAACTGACTTTTCAACCAAACAAACCCTACTCAACTCCATCACTTCCCTCAATGCAACCGCAAACAAACAACCAAAACCTCTTTTGCTTTGGCTCTCTCTCTCCCCCTTTTCAACGCACTTGGTTCATTCCAAAAAACCCTAGCTCGATCACAGCTAACCCCGCATTTCACATTAGCGACGAACTTCGAAAATCTAAACTCGAAAAGAGAATTCCTTCAAAAAATCAGGTTAGAAGCAACTTTGCAGTTCAGTTTTAAACCAAAAGACAAAGTTGAAATCGAAGAGACAAAGAGAGATTAAAAAATATATTTAAATTTTTTTTTGAAAAAATCGACTGAAACTAGGGGAACAAAAATGGCGACTAGGTTGGTGAAGCAAAAGAGACAAAGAGAGTAAAGGTGGAAAAAAGGTGAAGAATACGAAGATTCTCTTTCCACTTTCGTTTTTCCTTTCCCTTTGTTTTTTTTTTAAAGTCCGTTTGGCTCGAGGGATTCTTTTCGAGAAAATGAGGGAAAATGCGAAGGAAAAAGAAAATGAGAGAGAGAAAAAAGAAAAGAAAGGCTGATCACCTGAGAAAGGCACTTAAGTGGAGGAGGCGAGCTCTTAAGTAGAGAGAGAGAGAGTGAAACTGTGACAGAGAAAGAATCTGATGGGAAAAGTTTGTTGAAAATGATTGATTTGTATTGAATGCGGTAGAGTTTTGCCTACTCTCTAGTCAACTTTTTGACCATCCTTTTCACTTTAAAGTCAAGTCACCAATCCTTTTTCGCCACGTCATTTTTCAACCCTAATGTAATACCTTTTTCATAATTTATATTATTCTTTATCTTTATTATTTTGGATAAGCTCTATTCACTATCTTCATAATTTCAATTTTTTTTCATGATATTTTATAATATTTTCTTGCTTAACATCATCTATATATTTTTTTGCCAATATCACATAGATAATTTCTGATATTATCAAAAGATTAAATTTTTAATTTTATTCGATATAAGTTTACAAAAATATCATGAATAAATAAGTAAGGGTTAAATAGAAAATATTTTGATAATTTTATATCAATTAATATCGTGTAGATAATCTTTTATATTACAAAGTATTAGATTGTTAATTTTATTGATAAAATTATAAAAATATCGTTAAATGTAAATAAATAAATTAAGTTCAATCCCTAAGATTTTGAAAATGAAAGTGGTCTGCCTAGACCTGCCCAAGCCCAGTTCTGGGACATGAACGGACCGTAGCAAGCTTTTCACCCGAACGATAATCGGGCCGGGGCGGGTTAGGATTTTTATAAACCCACCCTTCTTTATCCAGTTTAAATTACCAAAATACTCCTGATACTTTTACTTAATATCTTTTACACCCTCATTTATATAAGATACCTAATTTTTTCCTTTCCCCTTTCTCACTCTCTGCCGCCAATCCCTCTTCTCTCAAACTCTCGAGGGTCTCTGCCGCCTCTTCACTCCGCACCACCGCCGCCGTTGCTCCATAGCTTCGCCGCCGTAGCTCTACTCCTTTTGGTGGGTAAGCTTCACTTTTATTGTTGATTCTTTTTGCTTCGTTTCTATTGGGTAAATTTCTTATTTATGTTTTTATTATATTAAACAGAAAAGATAATGGCGGAAGGGGAAGGACAACCAATGCCATATGTGTCAGAGGTAGTATTGAAGAAAAGGAAAATAAAAGATGAGTTGGCGATTACGAGGAAGACCCAGTTGGAGTTGGGTAAATATGGAGCGAAGAAAAGCAAGAAGCAATCCGATGTTCCTGACATCAAAAGACCCGAGCAGTTCATAAAGGAATTTAGAGCCCAGGTAATTATTACTGTATTTTCTTTTTTAGTTTACCATTCAAATTTACATTTTTTTTAAATGGGTTCTTACTGTTGATTTAAATGCAATTTTGTTTTGGAAAATTTATTACTTTTTTTACTGCTAATTAGTGTGGAATTCATTATAGTATTGTATTGTTACTTGGGTATAATAATAAGGGTATAAATGAGTGAAACTACTTGTTGCATACTCAAACTCGATTAGTTCATAGTTGGAGTGAAGCTGAAGCTCGACCTTTACTAGCTAAAGTAATGAATTGAGCCAAGTTCCAGTGTTTTAATACTGGGCTTGAGCAACCTGTGAGCCTAATGGAGCTTTTAAATTTTTAATATGTATATATATATATATATAATACAATATCCATGCATAAAGATGATATAGGAGTATTTATTTACATGTTTTCGAACTCTGTTCGAGTTTTGAACTGAAGCTTGAGCTGAGTTCAAGCTCCTTATTTGAGTAATGAAAACTGAGATTTGATTAAGTCTTGCGCAAGTAGCTTAATTTTCCTTTTTTTTTTCTTTTGGGAGCTGAGCTCGAGGATAGTACTGTAGCAGCACAGGTCACATATACCTATAGTGGTTGTGCCACTTCTGAAGGAAAATAAGATTATCTTAAATCTTTTCTTTTTTGGTGGTTTTAGGAGTTGGACCTAATCAGACTCAAACAGAGGGCAAAGAGACCAAAGTCAATGATATCAAAACCGAGATCAAAGTTGCTTTTCGTTATCCGTATACAAGGGTAGGTTACATTTTTCCCTTTGCCCTTTTTCAATATCTTTGCTTTTAATTCTTTCCATCTTTAATCTTTTGTATATATTTACTTTTACAGAAAAAATGACATGCATCCAAAAACTAGGAAGATCTTATACAACCTGAGGTTGAGGAGAGTTTTCAGTGGCGTCTTTGTGAAGGCAACTGAGGGTGTAATAGAAATGCTGCAGAAGGTGGAGCCATATGTCACATATGGGTATGAAAGCAACCTTTGTTCCTTTGCATTTCTTTTTTTTTTTGGTTAAGGTAACGTGCTGAATCTTATGAGGTGAAAACATTGTAAGGGGGTACTTCATGTGTGATGATGATTTTTATTCTCAAGTGTATGCTTATAATCGCTTTATGATGCTAGTTTTATTACCTACATTTTCATATCCTTTGTTTTGGGCCATCACTTTTAATTGCATGCTTAGATGCATTTGAATCACAATGCAAGAGGGTTTGCATGCACCTTGGGATAAGAAATGGCTTTGACCCATCTTTAAATGAACATGCATATCTTTCTTATTTTTTTGAAGTGAGTTATGAAACTTGCCATAGCTAATTGTTCTTAATCATCTTACTAGCTAGAAATACGAAGTGATCTGTTATTGGCCTTTTTGGTAATGGTATCAGCCATTGCTTTCTGTGAACTTTTTATCGAGCTAATATTGTATTACATTAATTTTTATCTTCCATCTATTAGTAACGTTATGTTGTGAACCTGTTAATGTGTTTAATAATTCAGATACTCTTATTTTGAGGTTGGTCGCCTATTAATTTGTAGTGGACCTCAGAGCTTTTAGCTTGGATAATTAAGGCATATGGCCTAGGCAGAGCCCACTAATGCACTCTGATTGAAAAGAGCTTCATGAGATTTTCTTTGTTGAGGATGTTTTGGAGGAATTTGCTACCTGCTGTAATTAGTGATCATCTGTCCTTAAGAAGAAAGAAAAACAAGGAGGACTCTTTGTCTAATTCTGAACCCATAATGGCTTTATTCTTATGCAGAAGTCCTCCTTTCGTCATTAGGTTCTAGTAGTGTATCGAAATATATAGGCCATATGTAATCATTGCTTATGGTGGAAAAATTTGTCAGATTATCATCCGTAATTTGCATAGAGATCATCTTGAATATATGTGGCATCAGTGAGTTGGAAATAATTGGCAGTTATGTGTCAAATTCAAACAGGCTTTGCTTTAGATAATTGTTAAAGGTTTTATAATGGTTGTAGGTATATGGCTGAGCCTTCATTAACTTAGGCTAGTTATGACAGTTTTGTTGCATTTAGATTGGCCACTTCCAGATTCAGTTAGACAGGTCAACTACATTATGCTTAGTTCTTTTGGTTTTGTTTCTTTAACTTATAGTTACCCCTAAGAATGTTGATTCATGGTTCTAAGATTGTTTCTTGCAGATATCCTAATCTTAAGAATGTGAAGGAGCTGATTTACAAGAAGGGCTATGCAAGGATCAACAAGAAAGCAGTTCCTCTGACAGATAATAATATTATTGAACAGGTATCATAGCTGTCTTAACCAAGTCTTAGCAAGAAGTTCCTAGTTTAACTTTGTCCACGGGTTCATAATGCTTGCAATTAAAACTCCTTTGTCAGGAATTGGGGAAGTATGGCATCATATGCATCGAAGATATTGTACACGAAATTGCAAATGTTGGTCCACATTTCAAGGACGTTAATCATTTTATGGGACCCCTTATGCTCAGTAAGCCAGGAGGAGTAATCCAAGGGAAGAAACAGCCATACAAGGAAGGAGGAGATGCCGGTAATCGTGAAGATGAAATCAATGACCTAATCAGCAAGATGAATTAGCTTGAATATTTTAGTTCCTACATATAAGAAAATTTTGATGTGTAGCTTTCAATGATCTGAAATGGAATGTAATCCAGCTTTGAATTGACAAACAACTTTGGTTTTGTTCATCTCTATAATCAATGCTAATTTATCATTTCTTACTTATTGGAGAGTTCCTATGGATGTTTATTCTTCTTTCTTTTTTTTTGGGCCCTTTTTGCCTTGTGGGGAGGGGGGATTTATAATTGGATTGTGCATTTTGCAAATCATAATAGTGTTTGGTTACTGAGAAACTTGGGGAAAGAGAAGGAAAATAATTAGAAATGAGAATTTCTAATCATTTATTATTATTGTAATTATTTTTATTTCTAATCATGTAGACAAATGTTGGTTTAGGCATTTGATTCGCTATGAAGTTTAAAGTTTAAAGTGAAAATGAAGCTTCTGTTTGCAAAATGTCCACTAGAATATTAATGGAAAGGGAGAGAATTCTACTTTAGGCCTCTGGGAAGAATCTGTTCTCAGTTCAACCAGAGATATGACACAAGTAATGAAGAATATAACATATCTGGAATTGAAATAGAGAAATCTGACACTGGGAAATGAAGAGGAACATATTCTGTTAATGAACCAACAAAATTGAGTTATATTTTTCCTTCTGGTATTTTACAGTGCAACCTATATTCCATAACCCTAAACATGACAGGTAGCTTTCTCTCTTGTCTGAGACGAAACCAAAATCCTATACATTGATTCTGTATAAGCAAAGAGTCAAAGGGGAAAAAAGAATAGAAAACCAGAGATAATCAAGAAACTTTTTCTGAGAAAGTAATTCCTATTAATTAATTTGCTGATCAGACCACTTCCAATTCATTGTATCTTGTTCTTGTTCTATCAGGGATGAGAATCTCTTCCATGCCCTTTCTCTTGTTAATGTTTTGTTGCATTTCTTTAGATCTTCCTTTCATCAGATGAGGCCTAAGCTTGTTTACATCTGATAATTGTACTGGCTTCAAGAAGAACTCTTCAGCTCCATCTTCCAAGCATCTGATTCAATCATTCAAAACCAATTCATGTCAGCTTACTGTAATCAAAACATTGAAAGTAATTGAATAGGAAATGCTATTTAAAACTTCTTTCATGGCAAAAAGGTTCCCTAACCTGCTAATTCTTGATGGGATATTCTCTGAAGACATGATGACAACTGGTATGTCTTTGAAAGATGAAGATCCCTTGATTCTTCTTAGGAGATCATAGCCTGTCATTCCTGGCATGCAGTAATCAGTGATGATCAGGTTGACTTCCACATCTTGCTGATGTTGATCCTCATCAAGAGAAACAGATGCAGGACTTGGATTCCTCTGTTCATCTTCATGACTGCTATTCAATCCAAGAAACTCCAAAGCCTTACTTCCAGAATCAACTGCAGTAACTGTAATCAAATCACAAACAGAAAACCAAAAATCAGTCTCCAAGCTTGGCACCTAAGGGTTGTAACCCTTGCTTAAGAAAGGTTTATAAAAAACAATATACCATGATAAGAAGAAGTCTTGAGAAGCCTTTCAATGAGCGTTCTATCAATGAGGCTGTCATCAACAGCAAGAACATGAAACTGGGCCTCAGTAACCATCCCCATAACTAGATAAAGATGTGATTCAACAAAGCAAAGAACAAAGACGAAGAAGAAAGATGTGAAGCAGAAGAATGTTGTAGGATGAGGATGAGGATGAGAATGGAGAGAAAGAAGAAATGGGGAGGTGAGTTTTAAATGGTTGGCCATATAGGGAAGATGGGCAAAATCCTTTTGGAAAATCTGACAGTTTGGAAAGCAAGATCCGGCAGATTTCATCCAGAATCTCCCGGATCTTCTAGGTTGATTTTTGAATTGGACAACAAGCAAAGAAGGTGGTGTGTTTTCCATTTTTAATAGTTTTCGAAAGACTTTAGAGACTTCCCTCAATAATACTCTCCTTGACCCTTTGATTAGCCCTTAGAGCCACAAATATTGGCCTTTCCCATGGGAGGTAAAGCCTACTGTTTCAGACCTTTCTCCATGCACGTGCTTCATATTTCTTAAATTATTTTTGCTAACAACCTCAAATTATATTTAATTTTTATGGGACTTTGTCTAAATCTTTTCTCTAAATAGAAAAATTTCCTTTTTAATTTGTAATTTAATTAAAATTATATAATTACATGACTTGGCCAAACTCTACGTAGGTCAAGATTCCTACATAAGATTTTTAAATAATTTTTTTTAAGGAAATGAGATATTAGCAAAGTGCATGCATTTTGACTTTTTTTAGTAAAAAAAATTAAAATCAAAAGATTAAAAAAATACTTATTTTTCTTTATTAACAAGTAGAAGACCTACCCATATTTATAAACTTTTAATATAAAACTCGTAAATTTTCATTGAAATCGAATCATTGAAGATATAACTAAAAATCGATATTACTTCTTAGTGATTATAAAATAATTTCATTTTATATTTTTATATTTTGATTTGACTTTAGATTTCCAGAGACATTCTTGCCCGCTTAATCACGATTCGTTAATATTCGTTTAATCAAACATGATCTCAATAAAAATATTCTTATACATAGTAATCAAATTTCGCAACCAATGCTATGAAAATACAGTCTTGAAGAAAAAAATATCTAAAATTATGCACGCCGTTTTATCTTTTGGTACGATTTTATTTTTTTAGTGACATTTGGTGCCTTACAACAACGAGATGGGAATGTAATCTTTAGGCAAAAGAGAAAAACAAAATATTTGCAGGGCCTACAATGGGGGTCCTTGGCAATGGAAATCAATTTCCATACCTACTTTTTCTTCTCACAATTTGCTTTTCTGGATACAGTAAATCTGCAAACAATTCCCCAACATATTTTCCTGGTGATTTCCCATGCTGTGTTTACATTCAAGGGAGCATTCGTGGGTCCTTTGCATTGAAAACTTTTATTAGGAAACTTCAATTCAAATCATTAGGTTTTCCAACACTTCGTGTCTGTATCAACAGTCTTTGTTGCTTAGTCAATCATTGTTTTTCTTTATTCTTTTTTGGCCAAATTGAAACATGTCTTAGGCTGTGATTGTCTTGTGGGAAAAAGGATTAAATCTAAAATTATTTCAAGGAAATTATTAGAAACAATAAAAGAATAAATAAAATGAGTCACTTGCTTTATATTTTTTTTTCTAGTGTCTAATCACTAATAAAAGAAATATTAATTATCCGAAACGAAAATATTTCTATCGAGAAAAATCCGTCCGAATAATTTTTTTAGATTTCCATCAAATTTTCGACAGAATTATTTTTTTTTATATTCTCGATGAATTTATAACGGAATTTTTCAACGGGCATATTTCAAACAAAATTTTTATTAAAAATTTATGTTTTCTCCTTTTTCCTAAAAAAAAAAAATCTTACAGGTAAAATCAGTTTCAAGATATTCTATTTGATATTACTATGGATATCTGCATCTCCTACAAAAGGCCATTTGTAAAGGAGAAATAGAAATCAGACACGTTTTCAGTGGAAACTCATCAAAACATTCCAAATTACCAAATTTTATCAATCAACTTGTATCTGTATCAAGATTTTCTATCACAAATATCCGCATTTTTCTATGGGATTTTACCTGCTAAGATTTCCCAATGTCATATTTTATTTTAATTATTTTGTTAAATTTTTTATTAAAAAAATCTAATATAAATATATGAAATCCAAAGCTTCTCGGAAAGGAGGGGAGTGTTCTATGTGGCTAGTCTATTCTTTGGACAACCGGCTACTCATAATATACTCTTTGATGCATTATTATTTAAAATCAATTTTTTTTAATTTTTATAAAAAATAAAATATAAATATATAAAAAATCAAAGGCTCTCGCATAAGAGGAAAGTATCCTATGTGGATGGTCTCTTTTTGTGACAAGTGGCTATACTCGCATACGTGTCAATATATGTATGCTCTTTAATGCATTATTCAAAATTAAAATAAAAATAAAAATAATATCAAGTAATTTATTATAATAGCCATTATTATTACTTTCCATATAAATCACTCCCATTTTAAATTATAATTACATTTAACTTATATATTTTTGGAAAAAATTTACATGTATTTTAAACTTTAGCATTTTTAGTCACTGCTACGTTTAAAAATTTGATATTGGGATTTCCCAATTATCATTAAATTTTGCTTTTTAATTTTTCTTTTATTTTAGATTATAATTCATTATGCAAATGCTTTTTTTTAAAATGCCTTATGCTTTTAATTATTTGTTTTAAGAAAATTCAAGAATTTCTTCATTTATAAAATCTAATGGACAGTGTAATTAAGACTATCAACTTTTTTATTATTTAATTTTATTGTCACATATTTTTTATTTCTTAATTTATTTTTTTACCATTATTGTTTCAATTATATTTTTCTTTGGATTATTCAAAGGAAAATTATCGTATTAATCTTGATGTAGATTGTTTCATTATTTTTTTTAGTTCAGTTTTGATTTTGTGTTTTCGGATATTTGTTGATGAAAATTAATTAATTTTTCTTTTCCTTTAATACATTTGCAAATTTTCCATAGTAAAAACGAAAAGATATAATGATAAGAACATGAACAATAAAGAAGATATAATAGAAATCAGACACGTTTTCAATGGAAAATAAACAAAAGATTCTAAATTACCAAATTATCTCAATCAATTTATATCTGTATGAAGATTTTCTATCACAAATCTCTTCATTTTTTTTATGGGATTTACCTACTAAGATTTTTCACTGTCATATTTCATTTTAATTTTTTCTTAAAATTTTCATTAAAAAATCTGATATAAATATTTAAAAAAGTTGAAAGCTTCTTGCAAAAGAAAAAAAATATTCTATGCGGATAGTCTGTTCTTTTCGACAACCGGCTACTCATGCTTGTTGATGCCTAGACACTTACCACGAATGAGATGCTCGTATATAAAATGTACCCTTTTTTTTTTTTCATAGTTAAACACAAAAAAAAACAAGGTATGCACCGAAAAATATTTCTAGGCTCAATATATGTACCTTGTTACCCATATATTTGTCACATTGTATCATGAATTTACATGAAACAAACCAATTTTTTAAATATAACTTTCCATACACTCACATAGAAGAAAAAAAAGTATAATTAGATTAAATATTTTGGGTCATAAAATAACCTCATTTAATAGTAATTTTCTTAAACTTCTTTTTATTAGTATATGCAAGCATCGAATACCCCCGATGGTTAGAATCTGCTCAAATTTAACGATCTCGAATTGAATTTTTATAATACAAGATATTCGATTTACGATACGAAAGTACTCGCATGCATCTCATTGTATAATTTAATATTAATTTGCATAAATTTCTTTTGTTAGTATACGTTTGCCTCAAATGCCCAAGTGCGTCAAGTACTCAATGGTTAGAATTTGCTTAAATTTGAAAATCTCCGTTTTAACTTTTATGATATCAGAGATTAGATTTATGATACGAAAGTACCTACTTGCATCTTCTGTACTTTAAATTTTAAAGTTAATAGACATTAAATATTCATATAAATAAAAAAATCAGTGTACCCAGAGGCACCAACTTCAAATTGCTTTGGACACCTACATTGTTGCATATAAAAATTTGAAGAGTTTTCACTTTATTGATATGCAAAGTATGACCACTTGCTACTATATCCCCTCGGATTCTTCCTCACCCCAACTCACTTTTTCTTCCCCTCTTTTTGTCTAAAAATGCAAATGAATTATGCTTATGGTCATTGTCTCCACCATTGTCTAACTCAATTATTAATTATATATATTTTTGTTCTGTTTCTTTGAATGGTCAAGATCAATCAATATAATGAAGGAAAACCCTTAATTATAATCTTGGGTTTGGTTTGATTAATGTGGGAAAAACAGGTTGGAAGAGGGATCCCAAAAGATGGGAAGAGTGGGTGAGGTTTGGACCCATCAAAATCCTAAGAGGGATATGGTGATTTCAGGTGCCAGACTTTTCCAAAGTGGGAAAATCATGTGCTCTAGCTTAGCTCCCTTCCAAATCAAGTCTTCTCTTTCAAAATGCTTTTCACTAGTGATTCTTTTTATCGTCACTCATTTTCGTACTTAAGGTATCATTATTACTATAATAAACTAGAGAAATGAAATATATGGGATAATGTACTGAAAAGAATTTGGATAATCGAGATAATTTTTTCTTGAAATTTTCGTATTTTATTTTATAGCAAAACGGTGTTATCGATGATATAAAATAAATTAAACAATATTTAACCATTGATGTATACTTTCTTGAACTATATTTTCTTTTAAACATGAGTTTAAGATTCAAATTTTGCAATTCATAAGGATGTATAATGTATAATGACCTATGAAAATTAGGTGCCTTTATAACCACAATTGTTTTGAAATACTCTGCAAATTCATGAATATTTTCAAAATTATCAAGGATCTTTTCTCCCCCAAAAGTTGTCAAGAAATTAACAATAAAATTTTCATGGTTGTTTAGAAATCTTTTGAAGGACTCATTTACATGCCAATGGACATACATTTTCTTTATTGTTTCCTTTAATTTTTTAAGAAATTTGAAATGAATTTGTAGGTTAGATAATTTGTTTGCTTTCTTTCTTTTCCTTTGGTTAAACATCTAGTCAATTTAGTTGAACCACTTAATTAGAATTCTGGTGCTTAAGCATGATCTTTCCATGGACCTAGCTACCAAATGAAGAAACATTATTTCCATGAAGGAACCATACCATGACATTTTCCTGCCCCTGAATTCCAAGTGTGGTGATCAATGCATTTGCAACCAAAATCAAGAGGTATATCAAGAGTACTAATATACTTTTTTTTAAAAAAAAAAAATTACATTCCTTCACTACATGGACATCACATGAACCTCGACTAGCTGACGGAACAGCTGGGAGACC